GTGGGTGGTGGATTTACATAGTATACTTATACAAACTTTGTAGGGAAGGGCAGGGAAGTCGCCAGCGGTGAATCCCATTCGGTGAGGATATTCACTGCCCTGCTCTCACCCTGTGCTACCAGATAGAACTGAGGTGTTGTCAAACAGCGGCGCCATATGGGGAGAGCAGAGCGGTGATCGCTGAAGTTGAAAAAGCTGAACTCGTCCATGAAATCAAAACACGACAACCAGTCAGGGACGGGTGGGAGGGAAAGCTTTCTTTGTCAAAATGGAACACAGACAAAATAATGTTAACAAATGTAGAAATAATGAATACTCTGAAGATGTTTTTCTGTGGCTTTAAAAAAAGTCTTTTTAATTTAGCCTTAGAAGGTCTGTTCGGGAACCTCCTTTACCTCCTTTACCTCCAGCAGTGACCCAAGTCTGTCACTGCATACTCCCCAGCTTGCAGCATGCTTTCTGCGTGGGTAGATTTACAAGTGGTTCAGCTCGCCCGGAGCTTCAACCTTTAAACTGCCTCAGTATTCAGTCAAGATGTGGTAGTTTGTAGGAGAGTTGCGGTCAGTTGGATAGAGCTTGGATATATTCTAAGAATATATTTGTTGGAAAAATAACTAACCTTTTAGGATAAAACTATTTTGCTTAGCCTAAACAATGGAATGATCCAAGTGTAAGCAAGCCACTGGTTACAGTTGTCACGCAAGTAATAAATACTATTGCTTCCTAGCTTGCAGTTACCATTGCTAGTGGTGTCAGCTGTAAGACATTGACCCACAATCTTGAGGTTGTTGGTTTGCGACCCACCTTAGACTTTTAAAAGTTGCTGTGTGACTAATTTGTATTGATGTGCCTTTTTACAAATATAGATTGGGTAAAAACACTGCCAAATTAGTTTGGTCAGTTTAGCCAAAAGATTGGTTGAACACATAAATTCCAACCTGAATAAAACCAAAAACTGTGGATAAACTATTATTTTTGAATAAAAAGTGCAGTTTCACTGTCTGCTTGAGCTCATTTCAATAAAATGGCAGAAAAACAGTGTACCTTAAATGATTTTTGTCTTCCGAGACATTTTATACACAAAAAAAACTTACAAAAGATTTTATTATACACACCAGTCATTAACTATTTCAAAGGAACTTAAATGGAAAAAAAACAAGAAAAAAATCACAAATTATATTACTAACTGTAGTTATGCACTCGACCAGTAGGTGGTGACATGTCCATCTGAAGCTTCATGAATTCTGGGGATCGTTGAAGCAAACGGTTCAATGCCTCATGAGGCTTCATCTCACCATCTCTATCTGGCAATGGTGAATGGGAGCAAGCAGATGAAATAGAGGCAGGAGCAGGTGGATAAGATGAACAGTGATTACAAACTGAGCAGAGCAAGGTAGGTGAATGGAATGAACCATTAAGCCAGTAATCAGTACCAAGATCATGACAGAAACAACAGTTACATGATCTTTTATCTGTTTATTTATTTATTTCATTTTTATAAATTACCATGGTAACTCCTTAACCTGCACTAATCAAGCACTAACCATATGCAGACGGCGTTCTAAATACATGGATTACAATAAACACAAAGACTGGCACCTGAAAATATTAAACTATGAATCCAACCAATAGTTTTCTGATTTGACTGTAAACCCTTTAATAACATCAAAGTGTTGTTGCCCATCCAACATTTACAGAAAGTGTTGTTTTTCTTATAATCAAAAGATTCTCATGCAGTCTTAAAAGTTTGGAGTTTGATTTGCCATTGTGGATTAAACAACTGACTATGTCCAGGAACCCTTGACCTCAATTACTTTTGTTTGTTTTCCTTACACTTTTGGTTTTTCTTTGCAGCAGACAGAGAGAGATAATACTGACACATAGATGAGATATGGCATGCAACAAAGGGTCTTCAAGTCTGGACTTCAACTCTGCAAACGCTGTGTGGAGGGCTAGTTTCTGCATATTGCCATGTGCTCTAAGCCTTGCAGCCATAATTAAGGTTGTTTTGTGTCTAAGGTAGACCAGAAAGAGACCCAGGACAGCTCTGGGGGAACTGCAGATACCCAACAGGTAGAATGTCAGAAATACAATCTACAAATCTGATCTTTCTGAAGAGCTGTTTACAGTTTTCCTCAAGCAATGTGGGGCAAGGTGCACAGATTAGTTGACAAAAAATAAGCTTTGTGAAAATTAATTAGAAATACCTGATTTGCAACTAAACCTAACATGAATTAAGTTTATCAAAGGTTGACTCCGGAAAGCTACAAAGGCATATTTCATTTCTGAAAACATCATTACATGTATGACATTTGGTTTATCTATGAACTATTTACATGTTTACAAAGTTTGGATTGTACTCAGCTGTTCTGAAACTTTTTTTGGAAAAATTGTCCCAGACATGTAACCTAAAGGGAAATTAATGCTATAAAAGCTACATACCTCACTGATTGTAAAATAGTCTAAGCTACTAGACTAAAGAAACTTAATTCTTGGTTTGGGACTATTCCTAATTCAAGTAAGGCATCAGGGTAACATTTTCAGCATGGTAGGGGACTCTTTCACACTTTTTCCAGTGTTATCTAATAATAATGAATAGCTTTAGTAGTGTAGAAAGGAAGTTATTTTTATGAACACTTTTTCTATTTATCTGCCATAACTGAGACATTATCTTCTAGACCCACATTGCTTTGTCTCCTCTCAGCGGTGGCTCTGTCAGGTTGGAGTTCATGATGGCCTTCCCACAGAGAGCAGCTTTTAACCCCCTACCAGGTCTCACAATTTCATGATGGTGTGATCACTCCAAAGAGGGACAGGGATTAGGAAAAACCTGTGGTCTGTAAATCAGGCAGGAGTTGAGAGGAAGGCCTCAGAAATATGTGTCCAACAGGCACCATACGCTTAGAGTTCAATGTACACATTATCTCGCACAGCAGTTAGGTTCTAAGCTGGCCTCTCCAAGCCAGATGGCCTCAACAGTCCTCAACAAAACATTGGAAAGAGGAGAACAAATTAAATCTCAAGACCCAGTTTGAACAAAATGTAATCCATCTAAGCCGGTGTTAGGAAGGTAAAAGATTTTGGCCACGGCAATAAGATAATGAGAAACACTCTCTTGTGGGGATTGCAGCCCCCCACCTCAGCCCCTCTTTGCTTAACCCAATCAATCTCACCAATCAACCACAAACCAGTTAAAGTAAAGCCCTTATGTTTCCATTTGGATTTGTTTTCAGAAGCATAAATTAAGGCTGCCTGGGAAAGATGAAACAAAAAATAATCACGCCGTGGGGCAGATCTCATCTGGTGCTGGGAACAGTTGGTATGAATTTACGAATTGTGATTAAGGAGTTTGGGTGATGCTGTTTTTAACCTATAGTTACAAAAGTAGAAGTAAATATAGTCATACCATTGAGAGTTATACATTTTTCATGTTACTACCACAAAGTGATTTTTTGATGTGATTGATCATCATAAAGTAGCTCAATACTGTGAGCATGAAGAAAATTGTATTCCTAAAAACCCTGTTTGATTCCTTCAAATAAAATCCATAGGAAAATATTGCTTTTAGATGTACAGTATTGTATGCAGTCTGTGTTTGCTATTTAAAAAACAAAATATAAACGCACTCCACATTTTGCATTTTAATTGGTGAAATATGATGAGGGCCTGTGTATCAGGATGCTTTTAAATGTGCATGAGATGGTCAGAATCCATCTTCTTATATATATATATATATATATATATATATATATATATATAAACTGTGCTGTTTAGCGGTCGATTATTGAATTTCAACTCTTGACCATGAGTTTGACCTCAGCTTTCTCTATTGAATTTACTGAGACGGGTGAGATTAAAACAGAGCAGGAGTTTGATTCCAGTCTCTTAAAGAAATTTCACAGCTTGTTGAACAGCTTCCTATGTTGGTTACTGCTTTATCAAAACACACATGCACACCTTTTTGGACACTAATTGAACTCCCCATATATACAATTACTGGACTTTATCCATGTTGTGTTACTTTTCCATTAAAGTCCTCCTGATGGAATTCCAGCGGACCAGAAACTTTATAAGTTCACATTTCTACAAATCTCTAGTGTGCCTCGCATTACCACATTTTGTTATTAGGGTGTGCCATTTGTTGAGCTAATTACACCATTGTAACCTGCTAAGCTGGGTCAGAGCTAATATAAGGAAGAATAATTAAATAAAACCCAAGAGGTTTCAGTGAGCATCAGTCCTGACATTAGAGCTTCCATAGTTGGCTTTTTGTCCCTCTGTGGTTCAGCAGACTGGACCTTTGCTCATTATGGTCCAAACGCTGGTCTGTTAGCTGGAAAATGAAGTAGTTTTCTGCAGATGGTCTGTGTGAAAGCTAATGCTGTCTGACTCCAAGCTTTGCATACTTTTTTATGTTTCCCCTCAGGCAGGCTGCTCTTTCTGCAATAATAGATAGAAATTGTTGCTGCATTCTTCAACACATTCAGTTATTATTATCAGAAAAATGCAGCCCCAGATGAAAACATTGCAGAGATTAAATCGGCAAAAGCTTTGATGTTAACGTTCATGTTGTTTTCAGCGCTGGCTCGCTTTTGTATTGAATTCCTGTTTTCACAGCAAGGCTGAACATCTGCATGTATTATTAAATCCACAAGCCCCTGTGGTTTATTTTCTATTTCTCCTTTTTTGAATAAGAAAAAAAAAAAGAAAGAAAAACCTTTGTAAAGTTCACCTCAGCCAGCAACAAAATATCCTAAAGGAAAACATATGATGGCAGGAAATATCTGTATTTTTAAGCAGATTTTGAATGGGCTCACAGCATAGATAGTTTTTTTGATAAAAAAAAAAAGGGATAGTGCAGCACATCTTGTTCCGCTAGGCTTAGCAGAGAGCAGCTCCTGGTCACCAGCGATTTGTTATGTTTGGAGTTTGCCTTATTGACTGTCAGTGTATGCGTGGGTGGACTCATGGAGGCTTCTCCATCTGTGCTGTCTTCACAGGTAGAGCATCTTCGGCCATACCCAGAAATGAACTGAGGACACAAGGGACAGAACGCTTTGGTTGATAAAGTCCTAAATCTTGCAGTGAAACCATGAGGTCACAAAGCCCAGGATTGGCTGCCACGCTGATGCTGTCGGTGATCACCTGTATTTGTGCCTTTCATACAGCTACAGCCATTGACATTCCTCTTGAGGGTGAGTCCAGACCATACAGTGTTTTAGTAATTTTAGTTTATAAAAGTATGTAGCATAGGTGCAGTTCTGATGAGAAATTCACAATAACTCTTCCAGGGATGAATTGGAAATTCAGATGTATTTAAAAAAATGTTTTAAAGTTTTGTTCAGCTTTCTCTTTCGTGTTTGTTTCTCTGATTCCTACACGATTAAAATAATGCACACATCTAAACTAATACATAGGAACCTGTCTACCGGTCTAGTAGATATTTCCATTTTATGACATTATTCTTCTAGCATTATAATGCCTGAATATTTGACCGCTCCTACTGGCAGAATTTGACAAATTTATCTGAACTAGTTGATTTCCCAGCTTTTGAGCATACATAACAAGCCTGTCTTTTCTTTGGCTAAGGTTGGAAGGAACCAGTGAGCTAAAAAAAAATTGTATTTTTATTGTTTTTATTTTATTTTCTGGGTAAAGAAGGGAAATTATTGGGCAACCTTAAATATAACAAAAAATATTTCCAGTTGAGCTTTTATTTCTCACAAAAATATTATTTTTAGAGGGATACATTTATATGTTCCAAATGTATAAAATTAAATGAAACACATCCGGTGTGCTTCTCATGACCAATACCCATTATTTGACATTAGTCTTACCGACCCAAAATATGCTGCCATCTTTTGGGGCCGATTCTTAAAGCTGATATCTTGCTTTTTCCACCTGAGTTTCCATGACAAAAAATTAAACAATGATGAATGCCTGTCCCACATGATGTCATGGCATGGTAGCTGAATATACTTATGGAGTCAACTTATTCACTTATCAGCCGATACAAGAAAAGCCTAATATTGGCAAAAAAAAAATAAAAAATCTATCGAGACAGATATCAAACTATAACACCTTTTTCATCAGATAATATTTTTTACTGCTAACAACACTATGTGTACTTTTTAAGTTTTACAGAATACAAATAAATGAGTAAAATTTGTTTTCTAGAATCTTTCTAGCTTTTACTGGAAATATTTTTTTATTAAGATGAATGCTGAGTAATGATGTTATTAGATGAGCAGAGACATGTGTCGAGTACTGGAGGGGGTGTTTTAGCGAGGCGCATATCAAGGCTCGCTTCCTTTGGAGGAGATGCCAAAATAGACGACTTCCGAAGCCTCGCTACCCCACCATACCACATGACTGTTTTGGAAGTGGTTCAGCTCGCCCAGATCTTCCGCGGGTGTAGGACTTTGTTGGAGTTTGGATATATTCTAAGAATAGATTGGTTGGAAAAACAACCAATCTACTTGGTTAAAACTAGTTTGGTTAGATGAAACAATGTAATGATCAAAATTTGAGCTAGCCACTTGTCACAGATATAATGGTTTTTAAGTAGTAAGTAGCTTTCCAATGAACTGTCACCTTGCTATTAGTGTCAGCAATAAGAGATGTCCTTCCACTCTTAAGGTTGATGGTTCAAGAACCACGTCAGACTTTTGAAAGTTGTGATAAAACTAAGTATTGTGACTAATGTGTATTGGTTTGCACATGTACAAATATAGATTGGGTAAAAACACTACCAAATTAGATTGGTTGGTTTAACAAAAAAAAAAATGGTTGAACACATAACTTCCAACCCCATTAAAACCAAAAATTGAGGAAAAACTATTATGTTTAAATAAAATCACTAACACCGTTCATTTTGCTCATTATTATCCAAATTGCACAAGCACTTTCACTGTTTTCCTGAGTTTATTTCACTAAAATGGCAGAAAAACAGTGTACCTTAAATTATTTTTCTCTTCTAAGACAATTTAGACACAAAAAACTTACAAAAGCTTTTATTATACAGACCAATCAATAACCATTTCAAAGGAACTTAGATGGGAAAAAAGGAAAACAATTGTGAAAAATCACAGATTATATTACTAACTGTAGTTCTGCACTCCACCAGTAGGTGCTAACATGTTCACATGAAGATTCATGAACTGTGGGGATCGTTGAAGCAGTTTGTCTAAACCAGAGGTCTCAACAGGGGGTCTGTGACCCCTAAGGGGGTCCGCGGAAGTACTGCATGGGGGTCGCGAAATTTTTGGATGATTCTTTTTTTTTTTTTTTATATTCCCTCCTGAATTGAAATGTCTTTAAATCCACATTAACATGAATTCAACACACTGTAGTAAACCGATAAATGGAGGCAGAAGATGTCTTTCAGTCATCAATGCACACATTCAGCGACACACAGGAGCTCTTTCAAGCTGGGCACCGTTTCATTCA